ACGTTTGATTGGTTGTACGCTGTGCGAAAAATGATTCCGATGTCTCATACATATCGCTCTGACAGGTACTTGCATGAAAAAAGTTCGATATCACTTTGTTGCTGCCCTGTCGCGGCCAGTGGTTCCTATGTCGCAGTTAACTGTGTTATTCACTTTCTAGTTCATTTAAATGGTAGCTTCTAAGAGGTTCCGGGATTCTCGCTCAATGTTTGGTAATTCATGTTCTCGTACCATACTCCTCCTCTCCTGTCACCGTAATTTCCCGATTCGATGATGAATGAATTCATCGTGTAAATGAGGCGTGAACTGAAAAGCTGGGAAGCAGTGGACAGCAGTTTCAACATGATTGAGCTCATCAGCGGCGTGGGAATCCCTTGACCCAACTGGGGATCGAACCCGTGACCTCACAGATAGAACGCAAGCATACTACCCACCCGGCCACCAGACAGCTATTCGAATCGTTTCTCATTTAGAGTATACACGATGTGGCCCATTTCCTTCTTCGCGAATTTGTTGCGGGCAACGGACCGCGGTCATCTTAGCACTACCCTCCGGGGGTTATGACTCGGTTGGACTGTTTCTTAACCTGACCATTTGTTACATGAGAGGAATGGGGGATTTTGGATTTGATGAGATGAGATGATGCATTCGTCGTGTAAACTACGTATGCATCGTATAATCAAATCAAATCCTTCATTCCTCTCATATAACAAATTTCCTGATTCGTTTCTTTTTTGCTATTTTTCTGACTCCACATAGTCTGGGTGTCCTCCCGAAATGCTGTTTTACATGGTCCGTCATCATGTTAAATAAATGAAGGTAAAAATGTGACTAGGTTACTATTGATAAAATGATGTTCTCTTCAAACAGACTGCTGTTAGACTGGCTAGCCTTCACATCCTGTTTGTTTTTAAATATAGTCACAATAAGCGATGCTAAGAATAATGATGACAAACAACGAGATAGTGGGGTCCAGTGGGGGTTACCTGTTCTCCTTGTTCAGTGCTGACTTGTCGATATTTGGACATATCTGCCTTGTTGGCGGCAAAAAACACGGGGACCGGTTCATCCATGTACTAAAGCGGATACAATAAGAGAGATGATAAATGGATGCATGTGTTAGTCTTTGTGGTCAACTAAAAGTTGATATTGGCACGAAGGAACGTGGCAGAGTCGAGTTGTATAAAATCAATCGATGGGCAACCATTAGACAACAGTGAGCCATATTTATTTATCAGGCTATATTTATCAGATCCTATGTATTCATCTAAAAATATCACCGGACCAATGCACCTGGAATTGTCTTTACCGATGCAATGGAATCTGCTATCGATCGAGGCTGATTCAAATATGGTACTGAGCTTGATGTCAGAGGATTAGAAACATAGACCGTAGACTAGTGAGACAAAACGGAAATTCTCTTTCAAAGACCGCATAGGATAAACCTGAAGAATTTAAAGATTTTGCGAAAGGTAAACTCGCGACCCTCTGTCCTCTCATTCAGAACTTCGAGTCAAAATGCAAGTTCGTCACTTCAAAGTAAACCGTTGTCATAGTTGTGGCCTTTCTCAAAGTATACGGGTCAGGGTTCTAAAAGTCAATTATTTTCAACAACTATCTGTTGTTGTCGTTGTTATCTTTGAACAAATAATCAATACTCGGGAGTTCACAATAATTAGGTCAAATATATCTCTATTTCATTAATCAACCAACGGATTCGAGTGTATGCGTACATACCTGTTAGACTTGAACAAGGTGTACTGTAATATCTAACTACCTAGAATAACAACGATGTGAAAGGCAGTAAGTGATCAGCAACAATAAGAAATCGTGGTAAAGTGACAACATCCGGAATCCTTCTCCTGGTGATTACTCCAAAGCACTCTCTTGGAACATCACATTCCCTTTCTGGGATGGAGGGATGCTCTTGTTGCTCTGCTGATAGGGCTGTGCCATCCTATATGTTATTATTTGTGATTTTAGATTGATGAGGATTTTCGACTATTTTGATTTCCTACTTCTAATTGTCAGACACAGCAGACACAATAAATCCAAACTGGTGCACTTTCCTCGCTCAGCCAGTAAACAGAACATCCATTGATGCTCACAAATTGCAATTCTATGCATGCGTTCACGTAGAATCTTGGTTGTCACGCGCACCCGACACTGTTCGGTCAGTAAGTGTATGCCACCCATAACCACCAAGTAAACAGGATTGTTCCGGTATCGACAATATTTATTTCAACTAAATAGGCAACTAAAGATCATCAATCAGGTTGTGTTTTGCATCAACATCCAGCGTCTCGTGCTTAGAGGAAACCTGGTGTCCAAATTCAATACGGCCGGGTGATAATTTAAAGAACCAAAAGGTTCAGTTAGGTTTTTCTATGGGATGCAAAATAACGCTTCCCGCAGCTAGAAGTCACTAGTTTCATCTGTCCAACTTGGCTAAGATGAGTAGCTGATTCCCGTATAGTTAGTTCATCTGCAGCCCATTCAAAGTTATCCGTGTTTGTAGAATGATCCAATCACCGATACTGCTGACAATGCAATGTAATAGAAATCAAGATTCACATTGAAACCCCGATTACTTGGGGTGTCACGGCAGTGGACTGAGTATCTTTCAGAGTGGATATGCGCAAATAATCCTCAATTCACGTCAGTTTCCATACACTCGGAAAGACCGAGGAGTCGGGTTTTGGCCTCATTGAAACACTGTTAGTTTTCGCAGAGCTGGCATTGTTTTTCGTAGCGAACAACACTGCCAGCTCGCAGAACATACCCGATATCAACAGCCATATCCCTATCGCCAATCATCCCACATTATATCTAGTATCATATCCACCGACCGATTACCAGCTCATTCTGAAGAATACTACAAATGTCAATGTCATCCTTAATGACAGTAGTGACCAATTAGTTAAGGTCATCAACATAGCGACCCACAAGTCCCGGGTTCGAACCGGTCTACCACTGCCCATCTTCCCTGTCGTTTCTCTATTTTCTCAGTCTTTGTATACCCAAGGCCTGCTTCCTAAAAGTTGACCGTATATTTGTATATTCGATAAATAAAAAATGAAGTAAAAAGATATTTAAAAAGTAACGAAAAGAGAAACACTGTACCATCTGTCAACCGGAACAGAAGGTTTCTTACAACTACACTGACGTCTTGCAGCAGTCGAGGACGGTCTGGTGAAACGCTTGATAGAACGGCAACATTTCTTCATTATTATGTCATCTTACTGGTGAGTGGATAGACAGAAAACTGAAACTACGGCTCATTATTGTGAATAGTGTGTTGCTAGCGACTGTCCAGTCTTGACATCTAGCTATCTGATTTGGGGCAAGAACCCACTCGATCCGGTGGCTTGTTTCATCCGGCGGAATATTTGGCTCGAAAAAGATCCGCATCACAACAAACCTATGTTCGTTTGAGATGGGATACCGTTTCCCCTTCGTTATGTCGATCGGTCAACCGATCGAACCCAAAATCGATAACTGACGGTGTATTGAAAAGAATAATTTCAAACTGTGGTCATAAAGATGAGCCCCTATGGTTGCTTAGTGGGAACATTCACCTGTTTCTTTTCATTCAGTGGTTTTTAGTGCGTCAGATTTGAATGTATCACACAGACACAGACCACCGAAAAGCCTTGAAGATATGAGGCACACCGCGAGTAGTCGGAACGATGGCATCACTCATTTCATATGGTGGGAGTAGCAAGATTACTGTTACCGATCCATTTACATTTTCTGAGGCAAATTCTTTCCCTTGTATCGATTAGTGAAAGAATAGATCGTCATGCTCGAAATTAGAAAAGGAGACAACCATCTTGAAAAATAAAATAAATGATAGAATTTTCGAGACAATAACCTTCTTTGTAACACCGCGTGAGCTTTGGATCGACAGCTCTTTCAGAGCCAGTCCATTGAAGAACCAGTACTATGATTCGATTCAATGGACTGGCTCTGAAAGAGCTGTCTATCCAAAAATCACCCGGTGTTGCAAACAAGGTTATTGTGGAGAAAATACACTTCTTAGGTAGAAGCGAAACCGGTCGTGTGCTTCCAGGGAAATTCTGTCTGGTTATTTATATACCACTTATCATACATAGTAGAATGTTTGTAGTAGTGAACCTTGGCCTCGGACCCGGCCGATTATTTTCCTTGNTTCCTTGCGATTTTACATAATAGTGAAGTAATTGGATTAAGCTGTTTATCTAACTGAATAGCCATTAGACTCCGATTGGTCCGACGAGTCAGTTCATTTAATAAACGGTCATTTCACACACACACACACACACACACACACACACACACACACACACACGGCCATCTCAGTAAGGCAGACTAAGAAAACTCAGTTGTGATCCCTGACATTTCAACCAACCAGCTTGAGGTTGGGCGGTGGTCGACGATAGTACGTAAGGGGTTAATCACTCAAAACGGCCAGTGCCTATCAAGATGTCAAAATTTTGATGGGGAGGGAGGGGTGAGCTTACTAATAAACGTAAATCATAATTTTAGAAAAAAAGTTTTTTACAAGTTTACCAACTGGTTTTAGTTCGGTCATTTTTACCGTCACCAGAAACTTCTGGTTCGGTGCGCAATTTTCGTCTTTGTTTTAGGTTCGGCTGTTCACCGGCGGATTTGCGAATACCTGCCGTCAATTGCAAAAGATTCTATAATGCCTACCGTCTAAGCTAGGTCACACGATATCCTTTGGAAGGGACGAGTGCATTAGTTCATCTCTGCATGCCTGCTTATCATTACATCACTTTCTATCGTAGATTGAACACCGCTCGGAGGAACATTCAAGCGCGAGCATAATCCATTTCCCAAAAAGTAAACCAGTGATCAATATGTGGTGGATTCACAGTGCACTGTCCCATATCGGTTTTAATCACAAGCCTAGACACCGGTCCGAACAACATGAATTCGTCTGCCAATTTTTTCCCAATCAAGCAATGTCCTTTAAGCCCGGAGGACAAGCGCGAACTTCATACACACACACACACACACACAAACGTGTGGCCTGGATGGCCGAGGGAAAAAAGTACAACCTGGTCGATTCTCAACCCGGATTGGACCTCCGTTTTCATTCACACCGATCGATCGGTCGTCGGTGCCGATCGAATGTATCTGTATCATCCACTTGATGACTACGTGTGTGATGTGCCAGACATCAATAATCACCTCGGTGAAATGATTCCCTGGTCTTGATGAAGCTGATTAAGGAACAACCTAAAGCTACCCGTGAATAAACGTCCCTCAGAGAAAAGAATCCTACTGTCATCACAACGGTCCACTCTTGATGTGGTTTTAAAGAAATATATCTCACGCGTAAAAGAACACGATGTGTAGGAGACAAAAGTGAACGGCAAGCATGTGCGTCTGAGCAGTCGTGTGATTACTGTTGCCCATTATCTGTATCAAGGCCCAACATTCGAACCTCGACAATCAACTTCGTAACTGGTCAGTTTCGCCCGGAGTGGAATGTGAATCTCTCCACAGTAGCATGAAGCAGGACGACAGTTGTTGTTTCGCATAACCTAACAAAAGCTTTTATTTAACCGGTTTGTAGACAGTGTCTAGGACAAAATTAAAGATGATTGCACAGTTGTAAAATACTAATTCTAAGACTAAAATATTAATTCAATGCAAGTATGATCATTCATTGGCCTAGCTGTGACACATCATAGAGGTTCATCGAGGAACGATGGGGTAAGCCACACACATTTTAATCACATCAGGTGAGAACATGGTGGACAAGATAAGTCTCAATAAAAAGGTTTGGTTGAAGAAGAAGTATTCCAGTAAATTTTTGAAACCAGGAGCCACAGAGTCTTCGCTACCACTGCATGTTTACAATTCCCATTGTGTGATCCATCATCTCGTCTAATTTTTCTGTCTATTTACTCGGCGTGAGAATTGACTTGTCAACGCTATTTCATCCGCAACTGAAGTGACGGCGTTCACGTTTGCGACCGCGTTTCGCCCGACTTGACCCAGACTTGGGTGTAGCTAAACGAATC